AGAGTCAGCATATCACCCCCAACAACAATCCGGGTCCTCATGTCACCCAGGATGCAAGGCTGAGTCAACCCTGAGCCGGTGAGATTTGAACAGCCGAACTGCAGAACTGCAGTCAGCTGAAGTAGCCTGCAGTGCTGCATTTACCCACTGCGCCACCTCGGCTCTAAAACCTGTGTGCACCTGCAGCTTTTTCCGGGGTTGAGCAGATGGTGAAAATGGAAGGAAGAACCTCCACCAAAAGAAAGTGACGTCCGTCTCGGTTGCAATAAATTTGTCACAGGTTGTGTTGTGGGCCTTCGGAAGAAAGGAAGGCAACGAGAAGGAGCTGGCGATACTATTTTCATGTTGTCAAAGATAGACAAGCCTTTGTTGTTTGTTTCTGCCACTCCAGCCACGTAACTTGAGACTCCAGGTAAGCCATACCTGCTCAGGTAGCATCTGTTCGGCTGCAGATTGTCACCTGAGCTTGCTGGCGAGATGGCCCTTTTCTGAAATCTCCCCGTTCGGAGTCTGCGCCTCCCTTCTGAACCCTTTCCATGCTCCTGGTGCTGCTTCTACCCAAGGGAGCCATGCCACATGGGCCGTTGAATTCTGTGACTTTTCGTCCCCCATTCCCGACGCAATGAAATCTGGATCTCACGTCATGGAAGAGTTATGGTGGACACCTCCTCGGCTGCCTCCAGGTCTGCCTTCTAGAGCCATTTTAGGATTGTTGAGCTCCTGAGAAGGATCCCAGTGTTGCTATGGGATAAGCTCTGCGGTCTCCCGGCGTTCGAGATGCATCCGTTTCCTTGCTCGACACTGCTCAGCTGCTTCGGCAGTGTGACAGAAAGCGCACCTGTCAATCAGGGCCAGCCCACCTGCCTAACCCATGAGGAGCAACCGAAGTGGGATCCAGAGGTCGCCGTCTGTGGGCAGCCACTACCTTCCAGGTACACTTTGAGGCTCCACAGAGATGCACCTGCAGAAGAAGTCTCCGGGCCCAGCCATTGCGCGGAGGGACGCAACACTGCAAATCACAATGCCAGCAGGCGTGTTGGGGTCCCACCCGTGGCTGTTATGCCTCTGCATTCACCTCTGTTCCCTGGGGAAACCTTGGGACGTGACCCAACTGCGGCCCTTACGCAAATCCCGAGACCCTCCATCATCCAAGTGCCAAAGGTAAGTGCCTCTTCTCTTCCCCCCAGGTAGCTCACGCTGAGGGTTGCCAGGCAGGTTCTGACTTATTTAATTTCTTAACTTTTTTCTTTCTCCAAAATACTTTTTTTATTTTCCATTTTCATAACATATAAGTCACATGTATACTATTACATAGC